CCCCATCCACTACAACCCTTTGAGCTCTGCCCCTCAGCCAGTTCTTCACCCAGCGTACCATGAACCCGCTTATCCCACAGTTGGACAACTTGTCCAGAAGGATGCTGTGAGAGACAGTATCAAAAGTCTTACTAAGATCCAGAAAAACTACATCCACCTCCTTCCCTTCATCCACTAGGTAGGTGACCTTATCATAGAAGGATATCAAATTAGTCCAACGGGACTTTCCCTTTGTGAACCCATGTTGACTGTGCAGCTAACTGCAGTGTAGTTAACTGCTGCACCCTTTATAGTAGGTCAGGTTTCTACAAATGTAACTAAAGGAGTAGAACAAAAATGTTTGATCAAAGCAATACTTTCTGTATCTGAAATCTAACAAAGATAAATGTTATTAAAAATAACAATAATAATGTTATCAACCCCATCTGAGGTTATATGCTAGTGTCATTGGCAGCAGTGGCAGTTCTGCACTTTCTGCTTGACAAAGAGAAGCTGCCAATTCCCAGTTGTAAAGTGGAGAGTCAGTGAAGGGCTTGGCACACTTGCTGATGCCAGTGCTTGTAGGCAGAGCAGCTGGCAAGATTACACATCATTTTTCACCCTAAAGTTAATAAATCTGTGTGGAGGATGTGTGTGTGATTTAGTGTTGAGGGGGCCCAGGAGTTCATAATTTATGAGTTTGAGCAGAAGAGCTGCAAAATTAATCTTTACAATAGCAACACCTGTTCTTTGACTCAGCTTTTAATAAATTATATGTGGATAATATTTACCACATTCTTCGAGTACTTTGAGATAATAGCAGCCAGGTGTAAAGCTAGTTTTTGGTAGTGGGAAAACTAACAATGCAAAAAGAGAAGCTATGTGAGTCACCTTGAGTTCTTTTAAATTAATACCTTCTGGTTAGTGTTCTACAAGAAAAAAAAAAGAAAAAATTTGGGGGTAACAGTTTCAAATGTAGTCAGATGTAAGAGTTTAAAGAGGCTATTTTCAAAGCCAATGATAGCTGAACAGCACTGGGTCACTTTGGCCTCTCAACATCTCCCAACAAACATCATTTGCAGAACAGATATGACAGCGCACATCTTGTCTTATGGAAATAAGATCTAGGTTCTCAGTTCTTGTAAATCAGGCTTTACTTTCTAAATCCTTCAGGCTCTCTGACAGCATTTTAAATATTTATCCTTATCAGCAAGATCCAAAGATAACTGGAAGTCAATAATTTTTAAAGCTTCGTACCAATTATGACAAAATTTGAAACCAAATAGGTACTCATATAAAAGAGTATAAATGATTACAGCTTAAAGGATTTGTTATGTTAAAGAAGGAAAGAAAAACATTTTTAAGAAGCGTTGTTGATTTTTTAGCATACCCTCTCCTTCCTCTTTATGTGCTTAATTAAGTGTGTGGCCATATGTCAGAGAGAGAGATACGTGTATCATTATTTGCTCTTGTAATGTAAATTTTGTTATTAAAAAATAGGAACCAACACGGTTTTTTAAGAACTACTATAATTTAGTAACTAACTCTCTTCTGCTTGCTAGATGTGTTCTCCTTTGATACTCTGTACACACTGAGCAAAGAGAAGTGAAAATGACCAAGGCAGTATGATCCAAAATCAAGAGTTTGTGGTTCTTTTTTAATTTTGGTGTCACTAAAAAGCCTGTAGACAGGGCCTCATGTGTCTTCCTCCTCAAATGTCATTCTGAAGACAGTTTCCCATTATTACCCATAGAAGTTTGCTTGTGTGCTGATTCTTTGCATAGAGGTTCCTGAGGATGCAGAGAGATCATTCTTGGAAAGAGGAGGGATCTGGAGAATATATTTACCACTTCCACAATACTTCAGTTTGGTGGGAGTTCTTTGAGCTGGCAAAAATAATTTTCTTCTTTATGGGGTACTGATGCAAGGAAACAGAAGAGCTGCATATACAACCACCAAAGCATTTCTTAGCCAGCTTTTATGAGAAGAAATCTGGCCTTTCAGGGGACTGGCAAGAGTCAGCTTGAATTTTCCCTTGAGAACAGGTCCTACAAAGCTAGGTTGGAAATTTCTAATGCATCACTAGCTTCCAAGAGCCTTGAAAAGACAAAGACCGTCTTTTGGTGTAATTTGACCTGCTAGCTGTAGTCCTGGCTTGGATTTACTGCCTAGAAGTAAATGCCCTGAGTCTGCTTTCTTGGGTGCCTAACTCAAGAAGTAACACACACAGCAGATTTCCCCAGGTCTCACGGCCTTGGACATAGAGGATCCCTACCTGCAGTCAGTCCATTTGGCAGATGTACATGATAGGTAAATAACGTAGACTCTTAGTGAACTTGCTACTCGGTTAATCCATATTAAATATATATCTATGTGTCTATACATTCCTTTGCCCTAATCCACTTAAGGCATGTCAGTTTCTGTAGTCAATGGCACACTAAGTGGTGTGGCTACTATCACTTCACTATAACTTCAGCTTGCCAACAGGAGCGCTAGGTGCTCATTTCTAGCTCGGCTGATCTGGGACAAGGCTTGAACTCTCACCTACTGACCTGTGGCAAGAAACTTAAATGTTTTGCCACTGTATATCTGCAGACTCCTTTCTAAGGTTTGCAATGGGAGGTCTACTGCTGATAAATCAAAGCTGATTGTTGGAAAAAGTGGGATTTCCACTCTGTTCATTCTTGCACTGCTCTTGAAACTCTGTAGTCAAAGACACTCTACTGATGACTTCAACAGGTATTGAAGAAAACCTTCGTTTTCCCATTCTGCACAAATGTCCACCTAGGAAAAAGACCCAAAGAATGAAAGATGGTTTTTTGCAGAATCAAGAAATTCAGACTGTGTTCCAGTAAAATTCCAAAGAGTACAACATTTGTCCATGGGTAAAGTTCCTTATACTGAGCAAATTCATATGGCTAAACAGTTAGTTTTTCTTAATTAGGAAAATAAGTGTTCCTAAGATTTGGAAAATTGCTTTATCAGAGTTGATAATAAGGAGGAGTTTACTGCTGGAATATGTTTTTGCTGTGAAAGTTTCTTTTTGCTAGAGCCAGGTACTACTCAGTATGAGTAAGAATGACAGAATCGGGCTTAGAGCAGCAACTGTTGATCTCAACCTTTATGACATTAGAACAAACACGTTCCATTTCTGTCAGTCAAATTCAGCTATTTGTATTTGTGTTCTGCTCTGATGCGGTATAGCAGTACTGGAAACATCTCTTTCAGTGGGTATGAGTTTAGGGCAAGGCTAGATTTGGTTTCTGTAAGGAGTAAGGTAGTTATGAGGCATTGCTCAAATGTATTAGTTAATTATATGTCTGGTTAATAAGAACATAATATTTGTAGTTTGAATTTTTTCCCAGTGAACAGTAAACTCACTATAAATATACGCTTTTTTTGTCCCAGAAGTGAATCTTGGTTGAACTTCTGGGAGACTTTAATTCCAGATTCATGAATCTTCTGGAGAAACTTATTAGTATCTTTCTTTCATTTAATATTTCAAGAGTGGTAATATAAACTGGAGTAAAAAAGTCACATCTCCCCATCCCACATAACCTTTCTACGGAGTGTCATAAAGCTTTTGTCTGCTTGGGGTATGAGTCATTTTCCAAATTTCTCCAGTGTGCACCTACGTATGTTAAAGAAAATATGTTGTCTCTCATTCTCCCTACCAGTGGTTTAACTATGTGTTTTGCTTGAGATAGTTCTATGTTCACTTCAGAAATGGGATACCAGTAAGGATTGTGTTCCTCTAAACAGAATTATACAGAATTCCAGGCCTATTGGATAGTCTTGGCTGGACGTCTTGTAACACCCATAGCTGAAGCTGCACTGTTTCATATAACTGCTTTTTGAGTCTGAAAATGAGAGAAAACAATTTTCTAGCATGGAAACTTGCCCACTTGGATTTAATTATTTATAGATAGTGAAACAAAAGTAGAGATTGACATTATTTCTACCAGAAGTTAGATGACTCTTGGATAATAAGGGGAGCATTCAAATACAGCTAGGGAAAGTTGGAATTAGCCTTCAAGATTCCTATTTTTTGAATGGATGTGCTTAAATCCAAAGCTGCCATTATTAAGGCTTTAGCTCATGTCACTTTATTTCTACTGACTAATACTTGGTTTCATCTTGGAAAAGTTCACATTGAACTAAATATTTGGGAGGAGGAGGGAATTTTCCAATGCAGTGAGGAAAAAAATTCTCAAAATTTGTTTCAGTGCAGAAAGCTGTTTTCAGTACAGCTTCCAAACCTAAGGATATCTTTTTCTGCAACTTGCATTATTATGGTAAACTTGGATTTCCAAAGACATTTAATGTAATAAAAAATGGCACCATAATTTAAAAAATGGCATAGAGAATTATCAGGGCACACATTAGATAAATTAAAAGCTGGCTCACTGGGGAATCAAAAACTAGAGTTTCTAATGGGAAGATGTAGATGAATGGGGCTCATTAGGGTCTGATCGGTTTGGATAATTGGTGGGAAGGACAAGTTGAAGTTATTAAATGATATGAATCCCCTGGTATAATGGCCACATTCCAGTAAAATGCACTTTATTATAACCAGATGAAATATATTTGAGCCAAATGAAATATATCTGGCACCAGAGAAACATATCTGTCTCTGCTGCAGAATAATGAGGCTTTGTCCTGGAAAGCAGTGACCTAGTGGATTTAGGATGATCATAGAAGATCATCTCAGTGTGAGCTCTCAGCATAATGCTGTCACAAAGAAGAGTAGGCCATTCCTTGAATGCCTAAAAAGTTAAGTAGCAAAGTAATTATTCCACATCTTATCAGTAAAATCGGTGGTTTTGGTGTCTTGCCATTAAGAAAGATTGGAATTACTTGGGAGATTTCAGAAGATGATTAAAAACGACCCAGGGTTTGGGAAACGCTGTTAGGAGTTCACCTCACCTAAAGGCATTCAACTGGGAACCTCGGAGATGACTTGGTATCTGTAGGTAGACATTTAAATAAAATGATTCAACTCATCAAACTGTGATGAAGGAAATTAAACGCTATGTCCTAGCAACCAGAAACCTTAAGCATTGTAAACAAAAGTTAAGGGAGGCAATGAACTTAGAGTCATTAACATGAGGTGATAGGGCTTTCTAAATGATAGATAATCCAGCGGGAGATTCTGTGGGCTCTGTACAGGTATACAGGAGGTCAAACTAGATGATCACAGCAGGATTTTTTGTCTTGGTGTCTATGAATATACTTACTCATTCACATAAAGAGCAGTCTGGATGTGCAGTTTCAGTTGCTTTCCTGGACACTACATGTTAGGCATTGATAAAGGTGCATATGAGATAATGATCATGATTCTACATTTACGCTACCTGTTTTCTTACAAACCCTTGAAAATATGCATAACTGTATGTACATGTAAACACATTTTTGTGATTTTTATTCTAAGGTTTATTCTAGTGATTTTAAACTGCAAAGCTGCCCCCCAGTTGTTTTTATTATCATAATTTAGTCCTTGGAATATAAAAATCGTTTACTTGAGAAGGCAGGTGCCTCTGGATAAAGTAACGGCTGTCCTTAGTGATCCAAAAATATATACCTGGGAAATATAAGATATGACAGTTTGGATTAATATTGACCTTAACAAAGATATTAATAAAATACTGTTAAACTTTACTGTGCTCTCCATAGTCATAGAAGTCTATAGATTTCAAAGCACAAAATATGTTCATGCTAATTTTATCTATGGGAATGTCCGGTATTAAATGGCAGTGTATATAATAGCAGTGATATAAATATTTTGCTTTTAAAAGATTTGATTTTTTTTTAATTCAAAAAACATTTGCAAGTGGAGTTCTAAGCTTTCAGGAAAAAAACATTGGCTGTCCTTAATTTTTAAATTCCACAGAGTTCTATGCCTTGTATAAACCACTCTGGATAGATATACAGGTAAGTTCAACAGATAACCATCTATGGTTATCCATCACTAAAAAACTGTACTAAGCTTTATTAGAATTTTGTTCCAAAAGAAGAATATAAACATATATTCATTTACATACGTCACAATAAAAATACTCTACTAGCTGTATATTGATATAGCAGGCTATGTATATTGATACAAGAGCTTTGATTTGAATCACAAAGTGTGGTGTATGTGTTGAAACACAGGTTGTTTAATATATTGCTGTTAAAAGATCAGTCTAAAATGACATAATAAAAAATAATAAACTTCTAGGCAAGTAAAGCTCTTCTTTAATATTAAAGAATTTCAGACAATAAAATAAGCTAAGGCTTTTGCTGACTAATCACTCACAACCAGTTAACAAGGCTAGCCATTATAGCAAAGAAATGTAGCTTTTTAATGGGAATGCAGCCTAATTTGCTGCATGTTGATGAAGGAACTTTAATTAAATCACTTGATTCGGTTTTGATTATATCAGATTGATCCATCCCCTTTTAGACTTTGCTCTTCCAAAACACTTGTTGAGTAAAGGTAACTTAAATGTAGCTCCTTGTGAAGGCATGCAGTGAACTGAGAACTGATCTCGCTGAAAAATCTCTGAGTAAAAAGAACATTTTTACTCAGATAATTCAGTCCTGTGTGGGTGCTCAGCCCTGTGGCTGCCCAACATTAGTGCTGCGTGAGTCAGGAGGAGCTAGGGAGAGTATCCGAGTCTGACAGTGGTGAGCTGAAACTGCTTCAGCTGGCCTTTCAACCAAAAATGCTCATGAAGCAATACCCCTAGGGTTTTAGTAAAGACAAGTGACTATAACCCTATGAAAACTGTGAGGTGCAAAGTCATCCGATGGAACTGTGTCTGGCCTTAGAGGGGCATATCGATGAGCTGTTCAACTCGGGGACTGCTGTCCAGACTTCCCAGTTGGAAGGAACTGGCCATTTCATGTGTCCTGTCCATTTTTTCAAGAGCTATCAAACCCAGTCATTTTTCACCAGTGCCTTGTGTAACATTTACAGCAGTGAAGAAAGAGCACGAAGTAGCCCTGAAGTACTACCAAAGCACATTGGTCATGTTCTACACCTACTTTTCACTCAATTTGTTTGAATGCAAACGACCCCATGAAGTGCAAGACCCAGGGAGCAGCAATCAGGGAGTACATCCTTTTGCATTAAAAACAGCCTTGAAAGGCTTTTGGCTCCACAGCTGACTGATTGATTCAGCAGAGGGGCCAGATTGCTGCAGAAACCAGAAAAAACGTAGAATGCTTGACTGTAATCCCAGGGTGCAAAAATGACCAGGAGGTGAAGGATCTATGAAAGAAATCTGTTTTCTTTCTTTGGCCCAGTATTCTCAGTACATCCTTTTGCATTAAAAACAGCCTTGAAAGGCTTTTGGCTCCACAGCTGACTGATTGATTCAGCAGAGGGGCCAGATTGCTGCAGAAACCAGAAAAAACGTAGAATGCTTGACTGTAATCCCAGGGTGCAAAAATGACCAGGAGGTGAAGGATCTATGAAAGAAATCTGTTTTCTTTCTTTGGCCCAGTATTCTCCAAGCTCTATTCCCCAAACTCAAAAAAAAAAAAAAAAAATTAACACTCCTTACGATCCTATTGCTGTAAATGTGTCTTACAAGGCCAAGATTTATTCTAAGCCAAAACTGTAGAAATTCCTTTTTTATCATGAAGAGGAAGGATTTCAAATTCAAGTAGGAAAAGCTCTGTAATGGAAAAGGTTAAGATTTTGTGACATAATTACGGTGACTGTTCTTGACCCTGTCAGGGAGAAAATCCATGACTGTGGAGACTGGGGGAGAGGGAGAAGAGCGGAGGGTTGATCCTTGATATTTGACTTCTGTTCATTTTGGTTAAATCTTGTTTGGCAATGCGTAGTGCCAGTGTGAGTGTTACAGCAGGATCTGGGCAACGCTTATTTTCTCCATGTCTTATTTCCCTGATCTGCGAAGTGGGATGATAAAATGTGATAACTGACAGCAAAGCTATGAGAAATCACCAGTTAATGTTTCTAAAACGTGTCATGAGTCTGGGCCCCGATTCTAATGTCTGTCTGTATCTCTTTCTGGTGTGATTTCACTGAATTTAAAATGGCTGTAGTTTTTCAGTTAATTTCCCGAAGTCAGTCAGTGGTGGTTTTCTGCTTGTATTAACTACTTTTAAGTTATTGTCATTCCCTTTTATATTGGAGAAATCAGCCTGTCAGGGTACCTTCAGCTAGATAAAAGTGAGAGAGTCTAGTCCAGGCTATTTGTTCTCTGAAGTAAGGAGAGAAACAAAGGGACCTCAGAGGACAGCTAGAGATCTGTCTTACTGGGGGACTGAGACAGGTACGCTGAATCCCATCGCTCTTTCAAGGTGTCCTTCGTCTCTTGCATCTCCACCTGGACGCTTCTCTATCTCATGTCAGCTGAAAGTTGATTTGATCTTGCTAATATCATTTCTCATCAGTGAAGAATTCCGTAATGGATATGGGTAGCACGGAATATACTTTCTGGCTGGCATCCCATTTCCTTCTGCAGCTAAGAAGACCACAGTCCCTGGAGTTTTTGTGGGTAACAGTCACGAGAAGAATCTGCAAATGAAACAGGCCTACATATATTTGCTTTTCTTTTTCCCCATTTAAGACAAATTTATTACTTAAAGATCAAACTGTGACAATGCTAAATGAAGCGCCTCCAAGGAAAACAGTTGTTAAACATCAGGTATAAATGACAAAAAAATACATATAAGGTTAATAAAGGATAAAACTGTTGCTAAGATTTCCATGGCTTTATCTCTTTTTTTTTTGATGCAGAGGTTTTCATGGTATGTACCTTGCTCTGTTGAATATCAGTACAGTATCAGATGTAAAGTCCAGGCTTATCACCTGGCAAAGTGAAACTTAAAGATCTTGTTCCAATTGTATTTAATTGATTAGCTGGAGATAATGGGAATAGTTTGTTCCTGCCAAGTTTCTTTAATCTCCCAAAGAGGGCTTGCATATTTATATGTTCAAAAGGAGTGAGTAAATGTGAAGCTGCTGTGCCTGATTTCCTTCAGTGTTTAAAAATGGCGAGGTGAAGGCTTCTAAGGTAACATACAGACCTTTATGCATTCAGCTGTGTAATTAAATGTGGTTGTGGTGTTTATTCCCCGGTTCTGTAACTGGATCTATGTAATAGGTCCAGTTGCAGCATTACATCTTTTACATACAGCTGGGGGGGGCAGGTTGTGTTACAGTCAGCAACGTTTCTGAAACTATTTCAATATGCGTATGTAAATATTTGTAAAAGCTAGATTTCCATTTTGCTTTACCTGAACACAGTCAGAAATGAAAACATTGCTATCTCAGCTGATCTGATTCATCACAGTTGCCTGTTATGTTTCATGCTTTTTGCAACACTGGTCATTTTTTGCACTCTATTACTACTATTGAAAAAGAAGCAGCAGAAAACCCCTCCAAAACACTGAAGAATTGGAACAAATAATATAACTAAAGAAGCTGTGATTTGCTTCTGAATATTTTAGAAATAAAAACAAATCGGGATTCATCAAAATACTGATCAATGTTGCTTATTTAACTGTGAGTTCAGCATTATGGAAAACTTTTACAAAATGCAAACACAAAAAAGTGTTCATTTTCCCTTTTATCCTATTTTTGTGTACATTAAATTTTAGCCCTAATTTCTGTGTTTTTCTGTTTGATTTCACAGGTTTGTGAAATCAGTGGGATTGTTGAAGAACAATTTAATTAAAACAAAATTACGGTGATCAAAACTACACCTGAAAATTTGCTTTAGTTTATACATAATAATTTTAAATAAAGTTATTTTTCTAGTATCAGCAGTACATAAGTGGAACCGCTCTGATATGTGGATGCTCTAATGCACTGAATCAGAGTATTTACTGTGGTACAGTGGCCTTAGGAAAGAAGGGTAACTGTCGCCTTTTAGTATAAAGTTACTACAATGTTTTTGTTTAGTTTATATCCCTGTTATTTTGGATTGACGTTTGATAAACTAAACTCTGCCTGACCAAAATAAACTTTACCTAGAGATTTTATGTATTTTAACTTGTCTAAGGTTTTCTACTCCTTATATTTTTGTAATCTTTACTCTTTTTTAGATTAATAAACATTAAAGTATTCGCCCACATCTGCCAATGTGTATGTCCCATTCAGGTCTCACAGAGAACTAGCTGTTCACTCATAGTCACCTGCAGAGAGAGGTCAGAAGGGGGAGTGAGTGAAAGAGTATGTGTGTGGGTAGCAGAAACAGGTGTTGCCCGTGCCGCATAGCTTTGTAGTGAGTTTATCTACTTTGATCTTTAAAACAAATAAAGACTCTGTTAAAAAGGGAACATATCAATAAGGAATGGAGCATGCATGCAAAAATAAAGCACCTAAAGGAGTTTCATATATATGATAAAGCATTAGTTACCCATATGGATTACTGAAACAAATTTGCTGTTTAAAATAAGCTAACTGGTGTGTGCTGTGTGCTTGGAACTTTAGAAGATGCTTTTGCACAGACATCAAATGAAGGGATGTGGCAGTAGCATTTACTGATTTCATTTACCTGTTAATTCTGTCAAGTGTGTTCTCAATTTCCTTTGTCTTCAATTATGTATCTTAGACATAATGATATAATGAAATTGCTTGCAACTATTAAAAAATACAGTATAACAAACCATCTGTTCGTTTAAGAAATAAAAATGAATTGTCTGTCATGAATGTGTCTATGTGTGAACTTTTTTTGCTGTCTCACAAACATTCGGTGCTAAATACACAGAAAGTATATGGTCTGTCTTAATGATGAGCAAATAAAATGGAAGGTAACGTGACGAACAAGTACTTGCTATACGTATCATCATAGCGTAGACTTCCTATATGTGTAAAATGTTTAGCATACTGGAACCCCATGGGGATAGTCCCTTGAAGTTCATTTCAGGAAGGGGCTTTATTAATCTGTCATCAGTAAAGAAAATCTGTTACACTGTGTGTATTTGCAATATACTTGAAGACTCATTTGCATATAGGAGAGTATTTTATCACTCTACTGTGATATGCAGCACATGCAGCACAAATACAGCACACTATGCTATATTTAGTTAGTTGTGCTCAGTAAAGCGTTCTTGTGAAACTAATACCTCCTTTTCGTGGGTTTTATTCTTCCTTAGTGGCCTGCATTTCATATTTCACCTTGATGCTACTGAAAAATGTAAAGTAGGTTTGCCTCTTTTTCTTCTTCCAGCTGCTTCACGGAATGTCTGTTAAGCTCCATTCTTTCTGCTTCATGCCATTACTGGGTGAAATTATGAGCATATTTAATCCCTGGGAAAAATCTCATTGACTTCAGTGGAACTAAGATTGCCCACAACAAGTTGAGAAAGAAATTAGAATTTGGCAGCATCTTAATTCTGGAAGTTCTTGCATGTCTAAGAACTTGCAGATAGTTTTGGCAGGGTAGTGCAGAGAGATATGGTCAGGAACATGTCTGGTTTTATATTTTGATTACATGTGAAGAAACACAAGACAAGCTTTATACAGGAAGGCAGAATATCAGTCCTGCTTCTGATCTTCTGAGGGCAAAAAGCTTTTCAGTTACAGATATAGTGGGTACCATCAACACTCATTAGAGTGATTAATAATTTAGCAAGTGTGAATAGTATGCAAGTGTCTCGAAGTGTGA